GCTTCGGCTTTGCAGTTCCTTCAGTATTACCTTTTTACCACATTGCTGAGGGATCAAAGATTTCCCATCTTACTTTGTTCTCAGTGTGAGCTGTTACTAATGACAAATGATTTGGAGGCAGTGAATCGAGAAGGACACAGATGACAAATCCACACCAGTGTGAGGTTGTGCTGCCCTACTATGTCCGATCAGCAGTTTCGTATCACCTATGTTGAGAAATAATTCAACTGGGTAAAAAAAAAAAAAGAGAGATGGAATAATCCAGAATTAAATGGGTCTTTCTTTTTTATTGCTTTTCCTTTTTTCTTATTTTTATAAATAGCAAGACTTAAGGACTGAATCCGGCTTATCAGTGAATTGACACGTTCGGAATATGTCAAAACCCTTTCCTCTCTTTTTAGAAGATAAAGGAAAATACCTTCATTGAACTGGATCTTTTCTACGATCAATTTTTAAAAACATGAGATTACAGTGAAACAAAATTGGGCTATACTGTTAAAATAGAGTAAGCAAAAAACCTCCCCCAGCGTCCGTTTTCCTTGGCATTTTTAACATCACCAGCCACTTAAAAATCAGTTGGTCAAACAGCAGATCTAGATGTACAGTAATATTAGAAGATGCGCTTCAGAGTGCCTTACAAAGGCAACCTTGTAAATATGCATTTGTCACTGTAGGGCCTACCTGTCTACAGAAAAATGAAGGATTTACTCCTATTTTTATTTATTTATATATTTTTTATTTATTTATTTGTATCTCGCCTTTATTATTTTTACAAATAGTTCAAGGTGGCAAACATATCCAACACACTTTCCTCCTCCTATTTTCCCCACAAGAACAACCCTGTAAGGTAGGTTGGGCTGAGAGAGAATGACTGGCTCAAAGTCACCAGCTGGCTTTTATGGCTAAGGCAGAGTTTGAACTCACAGCCTCCTGCTTTCTATCCTGATATCTTAACCGCTAGACCAAGGGTAGGTTCTACTTACCTTTACTACCAGTTCGAATCGTGCCCGCGCATGCGCAGATGACTTCTGATGATGTCCGGGTCAGTGGGCGGAGCCTCCTGCCGGTTTTACTACCGGTTCTTGCAAACCGGTCCGAACTGGGGGCAACCCTCCACTGCGCTAGACCAAACTAAACCCTATGTAGTTCAAGATTTGTTTCCTGCAAATAGTCAAACAAATGAACTCTCTGTAAAATTTGGAAAAATTCTGCACTGACATTAAATGGCATAATTGTATACCTGTATCTCTGCTGCCATCTAGTGATCATCCAGATTTTTTGCAGCTCAGCAGTTAACTATAGCTTTCTTGTTAGGCTTGCCCTCACTCTACTTGTTTAATTATTTATTTCTTCCTTCTGTTTTTAAAGCCATTCACCTGCTAAGTGTTTTGTGCACTTTGCATAGGATTAATAAATAAAGGAGAATAGTTATAGCTTGGGGCTGAAATGAGGCGTCCATGGGGCTCTCTGAATTTGGGTAATGAAATGTGTGCGAGAAAACAACCAAGCTCAAAGAGCACCAAAGACCCCTACATAAAATTAGAAATGTCATACTACAAAACAACCATCTCTACACAACATTTTGTGCCTGAGATAGTGCACACTCCAAGCACATATCTAGGCAGTTTCATACTGCAGTCTGACCCAATGTTTGGAGAGAAAGAACCAGGCTTTCTAGAATCTGTGAAAGTACAGCAGGATTGTGGTCAGTTCAGACCTTGGGATAGGACAATGTGTTGTGGCTCCGTTGCCTGAGCCTGGGCTATCGACAGATGCAGACTCTGAGAGTGAGGGAGAGGAGTTGGCAAGGCCTCCCTGTCCAGGACCCTCCTGTCTGGCAATGCCTCCGGAGGACACCAAAGGCCAAAAGATAGGCTCAGAGCGAAGCATGTCCCCGCAGCCACAGGTGGACAGTGACGAAGAAGATAAGTGCTGGCTGGACCCTCGGCAGAGGCGCAGGGAGAAGCATGCGCAGCAGAGGGGAAGGCGTGCCAGAGATTAGCTGAGTCACTGGACCACACCGCACAGGGTATAAATGTGGGTGTGGTGGCTGGTTCAGTTTGTGACGAGCAAAAACTGGAAATAATCTATGATCTCAGTGTTACTGGACTTTGCCTGCTTTATCGGACTGCATTTGGATTAATCCTTGTATTGTTGAACTCTGCCTGTTTTATTGGAATGCTTGCAGTCTAATCTTTGTTTTGTGTGAGTAAAGTCTGAATTGGCAGCTAGTCACTGGGTTGCTGCCAGCTTTATCTTCAAAGAGTTTTGTCGTGTGGCTTATTAACTCCGGGCTGTCTGTGGGGGTGGGGGGGTGGTACAGGGACAGAACACAATGCGGGCACAACTGAGGCATTTTCTATCAAGATAATATGAATCAGCCTGTTAATACTCCATTGGAGTAATAATAGCAATAGGAGTGATAGTAATAATATATTAGTAATTGTAATAGGAGTAATTCACCAGAGACATATTCCTTATGTGTCCAATCACATTTGGCCAATAAATATTTTATTCTATTCTATATCTGATTCTATATTCTGTATTTGATTGTCTATTCTATTTCTATTTCTGTTCTATTGGGTTTAAATGCTAATCCTGGCATCAACATTTGCAAATTAACATGTATGCATATTTTGTTTGGAAATACTCTTACGTAACACTTGCTGTATATTGCAAGTGGTTTTGTTGGTTTTGAAAGCAGCTTGACTCAAATCATTTTGTCAGTACTTCATGAGGGATGTTCTTGATAATCCAGGAACAGGCCTGGAAATTTGGATGATGATAAGTCAAGTGTAAACCACAAAGTCAGCAACCTTGTCTGTAGAAGAAATAACATTCTCCTGTGAAGTGTGTTTTACATCAGTGTGTGTGGCAGTAGTCAGCTGTGCAGAACTACTGATTTGTTTTAGCTGCATTGGTGACCTTTTTTTTGGGAGGGGGGCACGTGTGAATAATATCACCTTTCTTTCAGAATAAAATATTGAATTCTCGAAAGGCTTTCAGTCTGAAAACATGGGGCTTTTTTCTCCCATTTTTGGGAAATCCAGTTTCTTTAATTATCTTACTAGGAAAGAATCTGTATATAATTGTTCATCCTGTAATTGTTGGTTACTTCCTCCAAATGTTTACATTCTAAATAAGCATCAAGACTATAGTGTATTCCATATATTGACTATAAATAGATACAACAAATTTGCCTATTCCAATGCTCTTTAGGCTTTTTGATCTCAATATCTAGACCAGGGGTGTCAAATTTATGTTGTCACGGCGGCGTCAAGTGACGTATCAGGACTTTTCCCCCCTTTGCTAAACTGGGTGTGGGCGTGGCCAGGGTGTGATGCATCCAGCCGGCGGGCTGGGAGTTTGACTAGACTGATCTAGACTGTTGCACTTGGTGCAAAATGGGACAACCAGCCTGCTAGATGGTACAAGAAAAAAAGATGCTAACATCTGAAAAATCTACACTGGTTGTCAAATTTTTCTATAAAATTTATTTCACTACCGATATTTTAAAATATTGATATGAATTTTTAAAATCCTGAAAGAGCTCAAACTTGGACTAAGACAGGGGTGTTAAACTCAAGGCCTGGGGGCTGGATCTGGCCCGCAGGGCCGCACTGGAAATGGCCAAGGACCAGCCCCTGGTGCCTCTGCCAGTGAAAACAGAGCTCGGGAGGCTGCGACGGCCTCCTGCAACCTTCTGCCAGTAAAAATGGAGCTTGGGAGGGCCGCATGCAGCCCTCCTTAGCTCCATTTTCGCTGGCAGAGGGTTGCAGGAGGCCGTCGCAGCCTCCCGAGCTCTGTTTTCGCTGGCAGAACGCTCGGGCCATCACAGACTCCCCTGACATGAGTGATGTCAAGCTGGCCACTCCCATCTTGGCCATGCCCACCCAGACCCCAAAGTCAAACACAACCCTGATGCCGCCCTCAATGAAATTGAGTTTGACACCCCTGGTCTAAGACAATGTTTCTCAACCGTGGCAACTTTAAGGTGTGTGGGCTTTGATTCCTAGAATTCCCCAGCACGTAATGAATTGAAGTCCCCACATCTTAAAGTTGCCAATGTTGAGAAATACCAGTCTACGATACCACCTCTCCTCTTACAAACCTGCAAAGGCCTTAAGATCTGCAGGAGAGGTCTCTTTGGAGATTCCTCTACTATTACTGACTCGGCTGCCTAGTACCTTTCTGCACTCTGTCCTGTGCTCAAATTGAGTAGGAAGGTAGAATATCAATCAAATTAAAATAATTTAAAAGTTGTATAAAAATATGTTTTTTGGGAAAATAAAGTACAAGTAGTCCTCGACTTTAACCACAACTGAACCCCAAATTTCTGTTGTTAAATTCACTTAACGTTTGTTAAGTGAATTTTGCCCCCATTTTACAACCTTCCTTGCCACAGTTGTTCAGAGAATCAGTGCAGTTGATAAGTTAGTAACACAGTTGTTAAGTGAATCTGGCTTCCCCATTGACTTTGCTTGCAAAAGGTGACCCTGGGATGCTGCAAGGGTCATAAGTATGAACTAGTTACCAATATGTCCAAATTTTGATCGCATGATCATGATGATGCTGCAAAGGTTGTAACTGTGAAAAACAGTCATCATAAGTCACTTTTTTCATTACCGTTGTAACTTTGAATGGTCACTAAATGGACTGTTGTAAGTTGAGGACTACCTGTATATCAGTTCAAAGTTATTTGTATTTTCTCTTTTATACTGTAGGTTTTGGGTATACCACTGGTAGACTTAAAGCTCTTCTCCCCCACTTTCACATCCCAGCAAAAGAACATCCTACAATTGTTACAGCTGTTTTGTACTCCGTTCATGGAAGCGCACATCTCTTTTAGTTCTGGAGGATCTTATTTCAGAGATGTAGCTGTGGAATTGCTGAATTTAAATGATTTGTTTTCCTTCAGTATGTTTAACAGCATTTGGCTTCTCTTGTACAGAATTTGCTCCTGCACAGTACTCACTATTGAATCATTTATCTGATTGCAGTGTATCCTGACTCCTGTACCATTAGCCTGGTGGCTGTAAGTGATATCGCTAAGCATACCGATCAATTGACTTTCTGGGATGATGTATATGGCTTCAATATGTCCTGCATGAAAAAGGTGGTAATGCCTGAAGCGGTTGTGGAAGTCTTAGATTCGAGGACTCTTATATCTGAAGCTTGTATCATCAAGGTACCGTGACAGCAAATAGCATCTTCTAAAAAAATAATGTTTTGTTTATTCTCTTTGTGAACTGTCTTTATATAAAGCTGTCATTATAGAAGATGAATATAGTGATTTTTGGTTCTTAGTCAATAGCAATATGAAGTCCATGGTGTTTAAGTTTTGGAATTAACACTGTGGAGTTTTAGTCTTTTGATAGTATGTTTCCATCCTTGCTTCCTAATCCCCCCTCTGGGTTATCTGCCACTCAATTATTGATTACAGATGTCCAGGCTTATTTGCAGTAATTTCACCCAAGGTCTATTACAGGACTGTCAAACTCACGGCCCACGGACCGGATACATCACAGACTGCCCATGCCCATGCCTGGTTTAGTGAAGGGGGAGGGAAGTTGTGATACGTCACGTGACACCGCCATGACGATGCTGGTCTATTGTATAATTTAAACAGTGACATTGTAACTCTATGTTCCTTCCTCTTTTCTTCACAAGCTCTCTTGATATGACTAGCAAACCATATTTTCTGGAGCTATGATTAATTAATATTCTCTATTTTACACATTTGCAGAAAAAAATAATATTTTTCCTGAGCAGATATTCATGTCCCTACGGTTAGAAAATAGCAATAAAAAGTATAGTATCAATATAGGGCTTGGTGCTTTCTGAGCTTAGTCGTTTCCTTGCAGACATTTCATTACTCAGATTCCACCACTACTTCCTAAAACATGTGATGATATTTTCTTTATTTGCATTTTGAAACTGTCTCAAATGATTTGGAGGAAAGATCATTTCTTTGGTTCTCCTGTTACAGTACAGAAGAAAGACCCAATATTGCTGTTCATGTGATACACTGAAATGCTCAATTTAGAGCATCCTCTTAACTTGTGTTCTCTTTAGATGTGTGAAATTTTATTCTCAGAATTCATGGCAGTTGAAATTCATGGTGATGGCCAAGATAAGAAAGGCTGGTCTGGTGCTAACGCTATCCCATCTTGATCAAAATAGGTTGCACTGCACTGTATTTCAGATTTCAAATTGTAGTTACAGAATTTCAACTGTTATCACTCTGCAAATAATGTACAGGTAGTCCATTTAGTGACCGTTCGAAGTTACAACATCACTAAAAAAAACCCTGACTCATGACCGTTTTTCACAATTACAACCGTTGCAGCATCAACGTGGTCACAAGATCAAAATTTGGACATTTGGCAACTGGCTCATATTAATAATGGTTGCTGTGTCCAGGGGTCATGGGATCACCTTTTGCGACCTTCTGACAAGCAAAGTCAAGGAGGAAGCCAGGTTAACTTAACAACCATGTTACTAACTTAAGAACTGCGAGTGATTCACTTAACAACTGTGGCAAGAAAAGTTGTAAAATGGGGCAAAGCTCGTTTAACAAACTTCTCACTCGGCAACAGAAATTGTGGCCTCAGTTGTGGTTTTAGATTGAGGACTACCTGTACATCCAAAACCACCTTGTTTCAAATTTATTCCTCTGGAAAAATAGGGATCCTGTAGTTTAGGATGCTTAGATGCTTTAAAGTCTGTTTAACAATGCAATTGTTAAGGCGTCAGCCTAGAAACCCAGAGAATTTTAGTCCTGACCTGAGCACAAAGTCAGTTGGGTCACCTTGGGCCACTCACTAGCTCTCAGCCCTAGGAAGAAGGCAGTGATAAATTACTTCTGAAACCATGTTAAAAATGCAGGGACCAGTCCAGGCAGTCATTTGAGTCAATACTGACTCAGAGAGAGCAAAAAAAGAGGTAAAAAACACCAAGTTGTTGTTTTAAAACTAAGACGATATCCGAATGTAATCATGGTAGATAAAAGATAATTTTTTTACATTCCAAACTTTTTTCCTGTATAATAGAAATAAGGAATTGACCGAGAGTGTCATTATGAGTAAATAACCAAGATTAATAGCTTTCTAGAACTGGTGATTTTGAAATATTCAGTAAATTATAAAAATGTGCTTTATTTATCATGCAATGTCGAAGAATATACATTCGGCAGTCAAATGTGGGTGAATATGAATAATGCCTTTGTCATACTCTATTTACGTTCATGAAAATCTGTTAATATGCAAGACTGAACTGGGTACATTTTCAAGGATATTTCTATTTTATGGGCTGAACAATTGCTGAACATCACTTGTAAATGGAATGAGTATAATAGAATTGCTGGGCTATAAAGAGGAGAATAGATTTTCTGGCTCCACTATAGATATATAATAAATATTAGTCTCTTCTTGAAAATACTCAAGGATAGATTTCAAGCTTCTGGTAGTTTGTTCCAGTCTTAGGATGTTTGTATATGAAATATTAGGTGTAAGTATTTAGTCTGAATCTCATAACCATTGTTTCATCCTTATCTTAAGTGAAAAAATGGATTATTTATTTGGTTAGGCTATTTTTATTTGTTGTTGGAAGGGTATTCTACTTTTTACAGTGGAAGAATTTTTATCTTCACTGTACACTTTGAGAGAAAACATAACAACTCTCCATTTTCATGATTCAGTTCTGAAATCATTTATATTATTTTCACATTTATTAAAGTTTAAAAAACACATTTTTACAGTGTGCCCAAACCAAGAGCTATGTACAAAAATGACTTTTAAAATTCTGCCATCAATTAAACATTTAAGCAATTAAAAAAAATCATCTTGGAAAGGAAGACTGGTCCTGGAATAATAGTTGCCCTGCAAAAACTAGAGAAGACAGGCATGTGTTCAATTTATAACTGGAGTGCCACCATTGAGAAGGCCAACTTCTAGGTACCACACTATGAGACAAACTTGTTTAGAATAAGGGAAATGTTGAAAGAATTTTGTTTTTTTTTTAAGGAAAAGCTAAAAATCCAATATATTGCTGAGATATAGAGTCATGAATAATGCAATGGGAAAAAAAGTGTATCTTCTGATCTTTACTCGGCATGAAGTGTTTTTAAAGTTACGCGAACTGCATTGCAAGCTACTTTTAGCATTTTCAAAAGTTATTCACCACACAGTGTTGGCGAGCAGCAATTAAAAAGCAATTAATTGTCCTGAACTCAAAACTGAGAGCAAAATTATGTATTTTTGGCTTGAGTTCACACATATAATTATATATCGATCTTACAAATAACAGGTTTTGCTGAGATAAATGCTTTTGATACAACGGGCGGGGGGAGGGGGAAGGGTGGGAGACTTTGGCCTTTAGCTCTTTCTTCCAGTTGTCCCTGATGGTGCATTTGTGCATCTCACACTCCTACCATAGGATTGTTCCATCTGGGAGAACTGAGAACTCTACTGTAAAACCTGCAAGATAGAATGAGTTAAAATAGTAATCAGCCACTCCAAAATCCATATATGACTTTCTTTTCTGTGGTCTTCAAACTCGTATTTGTTGTACCTTGCAGCGGATAGACTGCCATGTTGTCTCAGTTCCAGAATTGGAATTTTCATCTGATTTCATTTTGACGGTCACCAAGACTTCCATGTGTACGGTAAGTTTTTTTTCACTTGTAGAAATATTTCTGGGGATCAGATGCCTCATTTTTTAAAATCTTCTGTTTGTGCTAACAAAATTTTGTTTGCAGATAAAAGCCATTTTTATTTTGCATAATTTGGTAGCTGCAGACATGTGGCATTATCTTCAAGCCGATTAATCTTATTTCTTGACTGATTGTCTTTCCAACAATTAAACTGTTCCTCTTGAGTCTTTGACTGTCATGTTTTCTTTTTCCTATCCTGTTTTCCCCAAAATAAGACATTCCCTGATAATAAGCTCAATCAGGCTTTTGAGTCCATGGCAATAAGGCCAAGCGCTTATTTCAGGGTTCAAAAAAATATGAGACAGGGTCTTATTTTCGGGGAAACATGGTAATAAATATTTTTATCTTACCTTATGTTTTAGCTTAATGTTGTGAGTTTATACTTCATAAAAACATATCCTTTAAAACTAACATATTTTTTGGACTATAAAACACTCAGGACTATAAGATGCACCTAGCTTTTGGGGAGGAAAACAAGAAAAAAAAATCTGTCTCTACCTCTGCCTCCCAGCAATTTGCCTTCTTGCAGCAAACAGCAAACAGCTTGGTCAGCTTCAGCACAGCCTGACTTAACATGAGCAACTGATTGGTGGTTGGATCGCCTTCCCGGAATACTACCGATCAGCTGTTCTAGGCTACGGGGTTTGCCACTGCCCGTCGCCTTCGCCGCCCATCGTTGCTGCCACCTATCGCTGCTGCCTGGAACGGGCTGAAAACAGGACACGAGGAGGCTGAAAATGGGGCTCATGGAGGCTGAAAATGGGACGCATGGAGGCCAAAAATGGAGGGCGCAGAGGCTGAAAATGGGATGCCCAAAGGTGGCGATAGGTAGTGGCGACGATGGGCGGTGGCAGTAGTGATGGGTGGTGGCAATCTCCGCAGCCTGGAATAGCTGATTGGCGGTATTCTGGGAGGCCGATCCAACTGCCAATCAGCTGCTTGTGCTAAATCAGGCTGTGCTGAAGCTGACCAGGCTATTTGCTGTTTGCTGCAAGGAGGCAAATTGCTGGGAGACAGAGGCTGAAGGGTGGGGGCCAGCCGGTAGGCGGGGTTTCAGCAACATTTGCTCTGTAAGACGTACAGACATTTCCACCCACTTTTTTGGGCGGGGGAAATATGTCTTATAGACCAAAAAATATGGTAACCGGTATAATTTTCTTGCCTTTAAAACTCTTGTCGCTTGTTTTCTGTAATTTTGATTAATGTCATGGAAATGTGACTTCTTGTTCTACTTTCCCAAAATTTGCTTCAGATAATCCCTCAGTGCTCCAGAAAAGAGAGTGAGTCCATTGTGCCAGTGATTTCCATTCCATCTGTGGATAGGCAGAATTAACTTTAATCCCACTAAGCATTTTTGGATTTATTCAAGATTGTATAAAATACTTACTGCATCTTTTCATTTTTTTTCAGTTGATACAAGCTTTATCCATTTCCAAACTCCATTTTATTGTTTTGTAGACACTGATATTCTCCTGTCCTAGAATGGAATGTAAGGTTTGGGAGTTATTGGTTTTTTATTAATTTTTTGTGGCACTACACAGAAAAACTAACACATTACCTGACATTATTTGTACTTTTTAATATACGATTATTGACATCTTATGATGAGAATTTTATGATGAAATGTCAGAGATTAGTCAGAGATTGACAGTCCATCCATCGTATCAGGCTGCCTAACCTTGCAATAAATAAATGGCTATTGAGTGATTTATTCATCATTTGTAGCCAGACAGAAACTTTTTTTCAGTCCTTGACCAATAAAAGTACAATCAATAAAATGAACAGCACAAAGCTATCTCCTAACAACAAGAACTGTTAGCAACCACTTGTGGGCAAAGTTTATACATAATGTAAGAAAAGTTTGCTACTTTAGAGAAATAAATTTTATCTTACTTGTTTAACAGAAAACAATGTTTAACAGTGCAAATAAAAGCTATCAGTGCCCTGGGAATTTAAATAAAAGAGGAGTAATTAAACGGTGTTGAAGGTCCCTATAAGGACTGGCAATACAGAAAGACTTGAGCACTAAATAAATAGTGGAATACATTATTTGTGTAGTGTTTGTTGGAGATGATTAAATATATATTTTTGCTTGATTTTGGAACCTCAGTTTTGATTAGATTTACAATAAAAGAATTAAGGTTGAAGATGTTATTATGATTTATAACTCCCTGGTGTAGTTACAACATTTTGTAAACTAGAAAACTGAGAAGGTGATTTTGTGTGACATTTCTAGTCAAGTACTGGTATATGTGGTGCTGCAGCCTGGAAGAAATATCTCAGTTTCATTCTATCATAAAGAGATAATTCATTCTCTCCAGTAGGTGGTGCAAAGTATTAACTCCCCCCACCCACCCTCATACCCCACCAACAAATCTAGTAATGCATTCAAACTATTCATACAGTAGTACGGATTTAGGCAATATTTTCACATTTTATTTTAGAGGTACAGAAGTGTGAAATCTGCTCACTTAGACTTCTTTCATAACTAACCCTTGTTATTTTTGTTGTGTTTTTGCCATTTATTTGCTTGGAATATAGCACAGCAACATCTTGATATATTGTAGATAGTTACATCCAGTACCTATCAAAGATACAATTTTATATCTTTCACCATTTCATATAATTTTCTCACATGTCAACTTGCAAATCAGTATAGAAAATAAACTAGGCAATGCGCATTACTGTTGTATATTATGTGAATCTACCAGGCATGAACACCACAGATAGAAGCACCTGTAATCAAATATTTACATCTACTGTCTATCTAGTATTTCTCCATCGCTTGTCAGTGTGTACAAAATGTTAGAGTATATTATTAATAGAGCAAAACGTATACCACCGAACTGAAATGAAACACCAATAAATCTAAATTGCAATTCTAGACTTGAATCTGTATCTAAATGACTAGATTATATTCTTTGTCAGTTCTTGGCTTATTGAATAGAGTGCCTTACTAAAATCAACCCTGTGCTCTTTGGGTATTTAATGTAGCAATAATATTCAGAGGTATATTAAAGTAGAAATGCCTAGCCACTATAAAATAAATACTGTGGGAGGAAAAGCTCAAGGATCTCAATTTACCTTTCTTCTTATTTGAATAACAATAAGAGAATAACAGAATCGGAAGGGAAACTGAAGGTCTTCTAGTTCAACTCCCTGCTCAGGAAACCTGCTGTCCCACTGCTCAGGAAACCCTATATACCATTTCAAACAAATGGTTGTCCAATCTCTTCTTTAAACTTCCAGTGTTGGAGCATTCACAACTTCTGGAAGCAAGTTGTTCCACAGATTAATTGTTCTAACTGACAGGAAATTTCTCCTTAGTTCTAGGTTGCTTCCCTCCTTGATTAGTTTCCATCCATTGCTTCTTCTCCTGCCCTCAGGTGCTTTGGAGAATAGCTTGCCTCCCTCTTCTTTGTGGCAGCCCCTGAGATATTGGAACACTGCTATCATGTCATCTCATTAAACTTGACATACAGCATAGTCACTCCAAATATGGCATTAAAATACCTATGTTCCAGTATTGCAGAGGGGCAGAACAATAAAATGCATTAATATGAAAACCTAACTGTATTTTGGAAGCTCTAATTGCATGAGATATAATGCATAAATGTTGCTATGTACCTCTGAAGATTAGGAAACAAAAGATTGGGAACCTTTTGTGTCTGTGGGAGTGTCCATAGTTCATTATTTCGTGTTTTGAGTTCAGTTTTTGCCTTTACTTTTTATGGGTTGGTGGCCTTAATCTCTTCTTGCACCACTGTCACATAATTTAATGATTTAGTGATTTCTTGTTTCTTTTCACAATTTATGGGAAGTAGAGATCCACATGATGTAGTAGAACAGGATGTGATATACCCCCCTTGGGAAGGTGGAGATAGAATCCAGGAAAGGTATAAAGAACCTTTGAATTTTTTTCTTACAACAAATCCACCTTTCTCAAAATATTAGTTTCAAGGTGTTTGGATTTTTAAGGAAGGTATCTACATTGAGATTACACTAAAGGGAGGTTTAATGGCAAAAAAAATTGTTTCTAGTATAATCTTTACTTCTTCCTGCATATCCTGCATTTCTTTTTTAGTTCAATGGGAGGCATATTATAGGGTTGGACCCTGTCTTTGCCTTTTGTTACAACTTTTTCTATATTTTGTCCTCTCCATCTACCTACATCTTCCATCTTCGTCCTGGGGATATAGGCTTAATTAGACCAGGTCTTCAACTTGGCTAAGCACTTGCATTACTTTTTATTGACAGCCAATATTAAAATATCGTGCCATTTTCCTAGCATTGTTCAAGCCTTCAGTTGAGGTTTGGCCTCTACTTTTTAGAAGGCAAGAAATGCCATGATCTTTAAAAACATGAAATGTCCTAAGAGTTCGAGTCTTAAGGCTTGAAGGGCAGAATTGTACATTGAAAGAATATAATAATTATCCTACAATCTTATATTCAATGTGATTAGGGAGTCCTTCAGTGTTTCTCAAACCTCAGAAATACCTGCCATTGTAGTGTTTGGGCAGGAGAATGGATAATAATTTTTCTATTCTGTCTATCTCTCACATTTACAGTCCTCAGAAGCTTAACTGTGTTTTGCTGCAGAATATATGAATTGCTATCTTCAGTAGTGTACTTAGACCAGATAGTTGAGATTCTGTATTTATTAATGAGCAAGACTTATCGTAAATCACTACTTTATTTTCTATTGCTTTCTATTATTATTTTCCCAGCCTCTTTTACATCTGCATTTGTAATCTTACGGTACGTGTTATTTTGAAACTCCAGTACTTCCTCCTATGAATTTTCTTCCTGCAATCCTATCATGTACTTCTGAACGAGAAGTTTAAGGTCATTTGTCTTCTTGCTGGCTGCCAATATTTGTTGATAAACTGCTATGGGTCTTTATGTAATCAGCAGTGTTGTCTACAAGGGATAGGGGTCAAAATAATCTAGAT